TCCCTCAACACCCTGGAGTGGAGAGCATCTGGACCTGCTTATTTGAACACATCCAGCCCCTCCAGAAGTTCTCTAACTCAGTCCTCCCTGACCCTAGGCCTGGCAGAGTCTCTTCTGAGTCCATCCCAAATCTCAGTGGGGGAGTCCTGGTCCCTGGACAAAAAAAAATTTTCATTGCTCACAGAATCTGGTTTTCTCTAGATTAGAAGATTGTTTTGGCAGTCCACTTGTTTTTGTATCTATGATAAAGGCTGACTATTAGAAATAATCATAAGGATTGAAGGGAAGCTTGGTGACAGTGATCACAAGTTGATCATTTTCTCTATCCACACAAAGCTGGCAAATCAGTCAGCAATGCAGAAATCCTCAACTTCAGGAAAGCTGACTTTCACAAGCTCAGGAGGTTAGTTATTGAGGCCCTAAGAGACCATGATCTGACAGGGAGGGGAGGCCATGATGAGTGGTCACTCCTTAAGTACATGATCCTAAAAGCACAAGGGAAGTCCATTCTGGCCTGTAGGAAAGGTAGCAAGAGGGCTTGGAGACCCCCTTGGCTCAATAGGGAACTCATGGACCTCCTGAATCTAAAAGAGAAGCTTATAGGGGATGGAAGTCAGGAACTATCACTAAGGAGGATTATACAGCACTGGCCCACACCTGTAGGGAGCAGACCAGAAAAGCCATGGCTGAAACCAAGCTCAAACTGGCTACAGGAATCAAGGACAATAAAAAGTCCTTCTTCAAATACATGGGAAGTCAGAAAAAAAAAGGCCAATATTGGACCCTTGCTAAACCAAATGGGGCAGATGACAACCAGCACCCAGGAAAAAGGTGATCTCTTCTATGATTACTTGGAGGTGGTTTTCCACCAGCTCAAAGGAATAACCCTGTCTGACAGGACACAGGATTATCAGGGTAAGGGCAATTATATGCTTATAATTGGTGAAGATCATGTGAGGGAACAGCTTCAGAGGCTGGACGTCCACAAGTCAGCTGGCCTGGATGGAATTCACCCAAGAGTGCTAAAAGAGTTGGCTGACATCATAGCACAACTAATGGCAAGGATATTTGAGAACTCTTAGCCCTCAGAAAAGATTCCTGAAAATTGGAAGAAGGCCAGTGTGGTGCCTATCTCTCAGTCATTTCCAGTGCCAGGACTCAACTGGGATTCACCATGCTGCTGCCCGTGTCCACGCCATGCTCTGTGCCCACCCCATGCTGCCGCCTCAGCCACCCTGGGCCTAGCCCTGGCCCCGCTCAGCATCTTGGAGAGCACCATTAGCCTGGGCACCTTCTTCCTGTCCTTCCTGGTCCCGGCCGGCTGGATCCTGGCCCACCTAGAGAGCTACAGGAAGCGCAACTGAGCCAGGGCCAGACCCTGCTTCCTCCCCCAACCCTGGGCCAAGCCCCGCGTCTGCTCCATGCACTGAGGGACCAAGGAGCCCCCGCCTGCGTGGCGTCCCACTATTACAATAAACCCCTTCCCTGCTGTTAAATGTGAAGGCTTCGGCTTCTATGACCACAGTCCACCCTTTGGTGAGAGAGGCAGTGAGCTGCTGGGGAGGGACAGCCTCCACCTCTCTCCACAGGGGAGGAGGCTCTTCTCAGCCAGACTGGCTAACCTGCTCCACCAGGCTTTAAACTAAGCCCGCCAGGGGATGAGGGGACTACCGCCACTGTTGGCCCGCTGAGCACCCCTTGCAAAGCCAGCAGGCCAAGGCACTTAAAGGAGCCCACCCCTGCCCCAGCACTACAACAATCTGTAGGCAAGGCAAGGGCCCCCAAAGGGACGCTTGCGTGCCTGTACACAAATGCCAGGAACTTGGGGAATAAACATGAGGAACTTGTCCTCTTGCTTAACACAAATAATTACGATGTCATAGGCATAATGGAGACCTGGTGGGATTCCGCTCATGACTGGGCCACAGGTATAGATGGCTATACCCTGTACAGGAGAGATCGAGTGGACAAAAGGGGTGGGGTTTAGCTCTCTCTGTCAAGGAAAGCAACGTGTCCCTGCAAGCCAACACTGGCACCCAGGGTGAACGACTGGAGACCCTCTGGGTTAAAATCCATGGGGAACACGGCACAGGGGACACAATAGTGGGAACCTACTACAGACCTCCTACCCAGGATCAAGAGCTTGACCAGGAGTTTGCCAAGGAATTGGCTGAGGCCGCACACTCCCAGTGCATAGTTGTCATAGGAGATTCAACTACCCAGACATCTCATGGGAAGAGCGCTCAGCCAAATCCGAATGGTCACAAAGATTTCTCACGTGTGTGGATGAGCTTTATCTGACTTAAGAAGTCTACAGGCTGACAAGAGGTGAAGCGCTGCTCAACCTGGTACTGGCAATGGGGGACAACCTAATCGGCAACCTAACGATCGAAGGGAAGCTGGGTGACAGTGACCACGAGCTGATCCCCTTCACCATCCGCCATTAAGCTGGCAAGTCAGTCAGCCATACTGAAGTCCTCTACTTCAGGAAAACTGACTTTGACAAGCTCAGGAGGCTTGTTGGAGAGGTCCTAAGGGACCATGACCCAAAGGTGAGGGGAGTTCAGGATGAGTGGTTGCTCCTCAAGGGAGCGATCCTGGATGCACAAGCAAAGTCTATCCCATCTCAGAGGAAAGGCAGCAAAAGGGCACAGCAGCCCCCTTGGCTCTCCAGAGAACCAGCGGACCTCCTGGATCTAAAAAGAAAGACCTACAAAGGATGGAGGACTGGATCCACCTCCAAGGAGGAATATTCTGCACTGGTCCAGACCTGCAGGGAGCGAACCAGGAAAGCCAAGGCTGTGACAGAACTCCAATTGGCTACAAGTATCAGGGACAATAAAAAATCCTTTTTTAGATATGTGGGGAGCTGGAGGAAAAGCAAGGGCAACATTGGACCCCTGCTAAACCAGATGGGACAACTGACAAATGACACCCAGGAAAAAGCCAACT